TTCTGGTAGGTCTCCCATCTCCAGTGACTTACTATACGCTATGGAGAGTGGCAAGCAAAGTGCCTCTGCACACTCTTTCAGTATCCATGGTGAGATCCCGTCTGGATCAACATCCTTTCTAACATCCAGATCCAGCAGGTGTCTCTTGACCTCCTCTCTCGTAATTTCGAACTCTTCCAAGGCCGCCTGGTTTACCTCCCCTTCTCCTAGCACAGTGACCTCACCTTGTTCTACTGTGAAGACCTCCTGGAACCTCTTGTTGAGTTCTTCACACACCTCTTTGTCATTCTCAGTATACCTGTCATCGCCTGTTCTAAGTTTCAATACCTGTTCCTTCACTGTTGTTTTCCTTCTGATGTGACTGTGGATTAGCTTTGGTTCGGTCTTGGCTTTGTTTGCTATATCATTTTCAAAACTTTTCTCTGCTTCTCTTCTCACCCTGACGTACTCATTCCTGGTTCTCTGGTATCTCTCTCTGCTTTCTGGTGTTCTGTTATTCCGGAAGTTCCTCCACGCCCTTTTGTTCAGTTTCTTCGCTTCCATACATGCCCTATTATACCATGGATTCTTCTGTTGCTTATCGGATTTTTCCCTTTGGGCCGGGATGAACCTGTTTACTGCCTCCTGACACTTTTGGGTAACATAGTCCATCATACCCTGTACAGACTTATCTCTGAGGTCTGTGTCCCAAGGTATTTCACTTAGGAAACTTCTCATCTGTTCATAATTCCCCTTTCGGTATGCCAGCCTTTTGATTCCTAGTTTTTTTTTTTTTTTGGGGGGGGGAGAGATAATTCCTAGCTCTACCAGGTACTCAAAGTTCAATACAGTGTGGTCACTCATTCCCAAGGGCGCTTCCATCTTAACTTCCCTTATATCCCACTCATTTAGGGTAAATATCAAATCAAGCATTGCTGGTTCATCTTCTCCTCTCATTCTTGTTGGTTCTTTGATGTGCTGGCTTAGAAAGTTTCTTGTTGCCACGTCCAGCAGCTTAGCTCTCCATGTTTCTCGTCCTCCATGCGGGTCTCTGTTCTTCCAATCTATCTTCCCATGGTTGAAGTCTTCCATAATTAGTAGTCCAGATCCATTCCTGCTAGCAACAGAAGCTGCTCTTTCTATTATGTTAATGGTGGCCATGTTGTTTCTATCATATTCCTGTCTAGGTCTTCAGTCATTTGGTGGTGGATTATATATGACTACGACTATAATTTTTTTCCCTCCATTTGTTGTGGTACCTGCTATGTAGTCACTGAAACCTTCACAGCCCTGAATAACCATCTAGATGTTTATTCAGGTAAGGTATATACATACAAGTGATGTTACATTAATGGATTGATATATAGATAGAGCTAGTACATACACTGCCTAAAGCCACTATTACGCAATGCGTTTCGGGCAAGAAAAACATTAATATCTAGAACTTAATACTAATTGAGCATAAAGAATAAAAAGTGTTGAGAACAAATACAAATAAAGAAAAAAAAAAGGGGGAACATGACTGAAAAAGCAGCACAAATACAATAGGTTGACAAACAGTGTTGATTAAGAAAATAACAGACATGGGTTGACAATAGAGGAGTGAGGTAGATTACAGGGAATTCATTAGGTAGTGTTTAGTTTTTATCTTAAACTGGTTGAGAGAGGTACAGTCTTTAACATGGTTGGGAAGGTCATTCCACATTCTGGGCCCCTTGATTTGCAGAGCATTTCTAGTTAGATTAAGACGTACTCTAGGAATATCAAAACTGTATTTATTTCTGGTGTGGTGCTCATGGGTTCTGTTACAACCTTCTATGAAGCTTTTAAGATCAGGATTGGCATTATAGTTTAGCGTTTTATATATGTATAATACACATGAGAGAATGTGCAGTGACTTAATATCTAACATATTCAGAGATTTGAGTAGGGGTACCGAGTGATGTCTAGGGCCAGAGTTTGATATTGTTCTAATAGCAGCTTTGTGTTGGGTAATTAGAGGACGTAAGTGATTTTGGGTAGTAGAACCCCAAGCACAAATACCATAGTTGAGATAAGGATAGATAAGGGAGTAATAGAGAGTCACCAGGGCAGGGCGTGGTACATAATATCTGATCTTAGAAAGAATGCCCACAGTTTTTGAAACTTTTTTTGATATATTTAGAATGTGTCCCTGGAAATTCAGCTTGTGGTCAATGAGAATGCCAAGGAATTTGCCATCTAATTTGTTACAAATTTGGGTATTGTTTATTTTGAGATTTATATGACTAGAGGATTTATTGCCAAACAGAATATAGAAAGTTTTGTCAATGTTAAGGGTGAGTTTGTTGGCAGTTAGCCAAAGATGGACTTTATTTAGCTTAGTATTTACTGTGGCATTTAGAGCAAGAGGGTCAGGACTGGAGTAAATGAAGGTTGTGTCGTCAGCAAATAGAATTGGTTTGAGGTGTTGGGAGGCATTTGGAAGGTCATTAATGTAGATGAGAAAGAGGAGAGGGCCAAGTATGCTGCCCTGAGGAACACTAATGTTGATGGGTAGGGTGGGAGAAATTGTATTATTCACAGAAACATATTGGAGCCTGTCAGTAAGGTAGGACTCGAGGTATTGTAGGGAGTGTCCTCTGACTCCATAATGATGTAATTTAAGAAGAAGGTTATGGTGGTTGACAGTATCAAAAGCTTTACGCAGGTCCACAAATAACCCAACAGGGAACTCCTTTTTATCAAGAGCTGTATGAATCGAGTTAAGCATACTAATAAGTGCATCGTTAGTGCTTTTTTTGGGTCTGAAGCCATATTGACAAGGGCTAAGTATATTGAGTTTGGCTAGATATGAGTAAAGCTGCTTATATATAAGTTTTTCAAAAATTTTTGACAAGTTTGGCAGGATTGATATAGGTCTGTAGTTGTTAACATCTGTGGGGTCACCACATTTGTGGACAGGCGTTACTCTCGCTTTTTTTAGAATATCTGGAAAGGTTTGGAGTTCAAGTGACTTGTTGAAGAGCAAAGCAATAGCAGGGGCTAAAGATCTGGAGGCTTTTTTGTAAATTAAAGTTGGTATCTCCTCAAGGGCACCAGACTTGGTTTTAAGGGAAAGGATTATCTCATTGACATCAGTGGAGTTAATAGGCTTTAGGTACAGAGACTGTGGATAGTTACCTGTAAGATAGTCCTTAATGTCAGTACTGGAAGATGGAATATCATTTGCAAGGGATGAACCAATGGAAGAGAAGAACCTATTGAACTCAATAGCAGAATCAGAGGCTGAAAGCTGACCATCGTTATTAGACAGGAGAGTCGGTTTGTTATTTAAAGATTTCTTTGATCCCAATATTTGTGAAATTGTGCTCCAAGTTTGTTTAATGTTGCTCTTTATTTGAGTAAATTTATCTTCATAGTATTTAGTTTTGGCTCGTCTAATTATCTTAGATAGCAATAATGAGTAATTCTTTGAGAATTCTTTGGAGACAATTCCTAACCTATACTTCTTCTCAAGGTCGTGTTTTTTGTTAATGGATTTCAGTATTCCCTTTGTAAGCCAAGGATTGTTAAGCCTTTTGCTTACTGAAGCAAACTATCTCTTATTACTATCTATTACTATCACTATAGTGGTATTACTATCTCTATTACTATCTCTATAGTGGTCTCGGCGAGGACAGGAAGCCGGCGGCTTGACAAAGGTCCTCCTAGTTGTCCTGATGTGATTTTATTCAACTGGATTTTGAACTGCAGCAGTGTTTTGGCATTTACGGCTTCGGCAGATAGGCGGTTCCTTGGATTTATAACACTGGGTGAATAAGAATCTCCTGTTTTCTGTCCTACACTGTGGTTTGTTGAGCTCGAAGCCGTTGCTCCTAGTCTATGTTACATCTGGCCTTTTAAAGAAGTGGTCCGGATCAATATGCTTCAAATTGTTCAGTATTTTAAAAGTTTCGATGAGATCCGCCCTGTCATGTCTGGTCTGCTGCAGTATTGTTAGCCCTGTGGCCCCTCAACCTTTTCTGGTATGAGAGTCGACTTAGTTCTAGGATGAGTTTTCGTCCGGTGTTGAACTTTCTCCAAACAGATATATCATTCTCAAGATGAGGTCTCCAAGCTTGAGTACAGTAGTCCAAATGGAGGCGTACCAGAGATTTATACAGTTGGATAACTACCTTAGTTTTCTTGAAGTAATGATTCGTTTGACTATTCCTAGGGTTTGGTTGGCTTAATTTTACTGCAGCTTCCACTTGTTATGCAATTTCAGTGATTGGTGGATTCTGACAGGTCCTTTTCTTCTTCAATCTGCTGCAAGGTAATGTTGATTTGGTAACTTCAATACGCAGTGTTATGCTCCACATGCATAACAGGAATATTGGAAGATATTCTTGTGCTGTACCCAGATTTTGCTAGTAAAGGCTAATGCATCAGCCTTACATTTCGTGTTCTCTCTTGATTCCATATATGACTGACCGTCTTGTGAGGTGGGGATGTTGGATGAGCTTGTAGCTGTTTTTTTTTTATCTACACTGTGGTCCTTTATACAGAATAGGGTAACAGTACATTGCTGTGTATACCTAAGCTAGTTAAAAAAAGAATAGACATTAAGAAGAGTCTTGCAGAAACTGGTAAGAGTAATTATAATATAATGTTTCCATGATTCAGTGCTTAGCTCTTGTGAAAATCGTGAAGTTGTTGTTTAGTCAAAGTTTATTTATTTTGTTGTATTGAGGCAGGTATTTTCTCCCCTTTTTTCATTAACAAACTTAGTTTTACACAGCAATGTGCTGCTACCAAATTCTATATGAAAGATTTCACACTGTAGATCAAAAACTAGCTATAAGTTCATCTAATATTCCCATCTCACAGGATGGTTAGTCATACATGGAATCAGGGGTATGCTATATAACCACTATACACTATATATATATATATATATATATATATATATATATATATATATATATATATATATATAAATGAATAAATGTCTCCCCTCAGTGACCCGTCACCATGGTGACGCGTGGGGCGGCGGTGGAGACCCCTGGCGGCGGGACGGCCAACCTCGCCCGGCACACGTCATGGACCCCCAAAACAAAACAAACAGCTGATCACCTGCTTGAACTTCACCTAGCGGAAAAAAACAAAAAATACACATTCATACGGCTTATGTATGTAATTAGAGTGACCGCGTGAGAAGCAGCAATGTGTTGATGAGGGTTGGTGGGCGTGTTGTTAACGGGAGTGAACTGTGGAGACCACGACACGGTAAGGTTCACTGGACAACTCGCTCCGGTGAAAGGCCTACACGTCACTACTATACAATATATACCTCACTATACAACATGCACGTCACCTCACTATACAACATGCACGTCACCTCACTATAACACATGCACGTCACCTCACTATACAACATGCACGTCACCTCACTATACAACATGCATGTCACCTCACTATACAACATGCACATCACCTCACTATACAACATGCACGTCACCTCACTATACAACATGCATGTCACCTCACTATACAACATGCACGTCACCTCACCATACAACATGCACGTCACCTCACTATACAACATGCATGTCACCTCACTATACAACATGCATGTCACCTCACTATACAACATGCACGTCACCTCACTATACAACATGCACGTCACCTCACTATACAACATGCATGTCACCTCACTATACAACATGCACGTCACCTCACTATACAACATGCACGTCACCTCACTATACAACATGCACGTCACCTCACTATACAACATGCACGTCACCTCACTATACAACATGCATGTCACCTCACTATACAACATGCACATCACCTCACTATACAACATGCACGTCACCTCACTATACAACATGCACATCACCTCACTATACAACATGCACATCACCTCACTATACAACATGCATGTCACCTCACTATACAACATGCATGTCACCTCACTATACAACATGCATGTCACCTCACTATACAACATGCACGTCACCTCATTATACAACATGCATGTCACCTCACTATACAACATGCATGTCACCTCACTATACAACATGCATGTCACCTCACTATACAACATGCACGTCACCTCACTATACAACATGCACGTCACCTCATTATACAACATGCACATCACCTCACTATACAACATGCACATCACCTCACTATACAACATGCACGTCACCTCACTATACAACATGCACGTCACCTCACTATACAACATGCACATCACCTCATTATACAACATGCACATCACCTCACTATACAACATGCACATCACCTCACTATACAACATGCACGTCACCTCACTATACAACATGCACGTCACCTCATTATACAACATGCATGTCACCTCTCCATACAACATGCACGTCACCTCACTATACAACATGCACCTCACCTCACTATACAACATGCACGTCACCTCACTATACAACATGCACGTCACCTCACCATACAACATGCACGTCCCATACACCTGTTAAACCAAACCATGGTACGTGCTATGTGTTTGAAGCATATTGTGTAGTAGCTGTACTAATTCACTATGTATATTAATCTTTTATATTTAGATATTTACAAAAAAATGCAATATAATTCATAATAATAGATAATAAACTTTATGAAAATGTACATACATACAAACTGAGTTACAAGCAGAATGATTAATTTCTAGATAGAGCTAGTATATACTATGCATAAAGCCACTAATACGCACAGCGTTTCAGGCAAGATAATAATTCATAGTGTCTGGGGACAGGCAGAAAGAGTGTATTCATACAGGTTAGGCTTATATCAAGGTCTCCCCTCCCTAGGTTTAAATTACTGACCCCACCCAGGATGCAACCCCCACAATAAGCTGACTAACTCCTGGGGACCTGCTTACTGCTAGGTGAATAGGTGCATTAGGTGATAAGAAATGCACTCAACCATTTGACCCATCTGGGATTTGAATCCAGAATTCTCGATTGTGAGTCGATAATGACTCGCATTCGATATACTGTACTGTATTTAGGTTTTGTAGCAAATTTTGTGTGTAAATGGTACATTTTTGTGGCTTGTAGAACTTAAAAAATTATTCCTTGCGTGAGTTTTACATTGGATCTTTTAAAGAAGTAGTCTGGATTAGTATCTTTCAATTTGATCAGTATTTTTAAGGTCTCAATTAGATGCATCCTGTCATGTCTGGTATGTAGTGTTGCTAGTTCTGTGGCCCTCAACCTTTCATGATATACGAGTTGACATTAACGAGACTCTACATTGAACTTTTTCCAAGGTGGATATATCCTTTTGAAGGCAAGGCTTGAATATAATAGTCGAAATGGGGGTGCACCAGATATTTGTCGAGGTAAATTCTTCTGAAGCATTCAAGAACTGGCCAGGAATTGTATCTGATATCTCACACATCTTGTGTGCCCTATAGTACCTATAAAAATTTATATTTTGGTTTGGTTGCAGGTAGCAGTGACTTAGCTGGCCATAGGTATTGTCAGTTCTTAGTCGCTACTTTAATATCCACTTACTTTTCCTTGAAACCATAGATTTGTTTGATAATTCTGAAGATTTGGTTAGCTTTTTTTTCAAATTGCTGCACCCACTTGCTGTGCAGTCTTAATGACTGGTGGACCTAACTCCTAGGTCCTTTTCATTATCAATCTGCTACATGGTAGTGTTGTTGATTTGATAATTATGATGTGTATTGTTATGCCCTACATGCAAGGTCTTGCATCTTTCCATATTTGTTCATATACTGTAGTTCATATTTGCTCATATATACTGTATTCATATATGTTCACAAGTTCATATAGATTGCCTTGCAGCACTCCAGTGTGATTTTCACTTCCTACTTTACTCTAGATCTGAGTCGTCTCCAAATTTAATGATGTGGCTTGTGATTTTCTCATTTGTTGTTGCCATATAATGTAATTTGACTAGGGTTGGCTCCAAGGTGAAACTCTGTGGTAGTATCAGGAATAAACTCCATGTCTGGAGGCTATACATCACCTGTTGATGGAAAAACTGCTTCACCTTATGGCAGATATAAACACTGTACAGTATATGCTTGGTGACATGCTGGCACTCACCATGGGAGGTGAGTGCCAGTACTTGACACAGAAAGCCGACTGGACGACTGTCAACATCCAATCATCCCAGACAGAAATGCACCAGGTGTCCTGTAACTGGTACAAAAAACCCCACAAAGGCTCTTTTAAAATTCTAAACTAAGTCAGGCAAAATTTAGCAACATCTTTCAGTTACCTCCAGCAAAACAGGAGCTAAGCACCTACCACACCTCGAGGGTACATCAGGGGTCCACCATGACCTGTCAACTTCTGACACCTTTCGTTTCAAGCCAGTGCCATACACCAACTCCCTGCCTAAAGAGACAATTGGAAAATGCAGAAAAAACTGTCAAAGTCCCTATGACCCCAGGTAATAAGGGTACCAGGAGTCAGAATCCAGGCCATTGAAGAGGAATGCCAAATGGCAGTACTGTATTGTGATTCAAAGGGCAATAATGGTGTTCAATTAGCCGGCAGTTCCCAGGCATAGCAGGTGTTCAGACATCTGCTCATCATCAAGGTTGAACCAATTTCTTCTGGATTTGAGCCCTGGATAGGGAGGGTTGACGGGGCGCTAAACCTTAACTGTTCACTTCTATTCACCCAGCGGTAATTGGAGACCAGGTTGTAAACCAACTGGTGGGGTTGTGTTCTAGCAAAGACTGGTAGGATAAGGCTTAAGAAGAGCTACTTGAGAGAAAAGCTTTAAACCTGTGAAACAAAATATCCAGATAGATTCGCCTCCATTGAGGACAAACCTTTGCACATTTCACATGCTTGCAATTTGTGCCATACATCACGCATCACAAGTATGGGATGTCATAAAGCATCTACTATATTGTAAAAACACTTTACATAGCCTCTTGAAATACTGTATTTATGAAGAACTCAAATGTGCAAATTTAATCCAGATACAAGCTATGCTAATCTTCTAGGTGATATTCTGGGAAGACAAAGTTAATGTGTCAAGATAACTGAGAGTACCTAGACATTATATGGTGATAAATTTTGTTTCGAAATTTGTCCAACATTGTTGTATATTGTATATTGTACAATATAAATACAGTATATTGTACTCTATTTAATGTAATTTTTTGCAATTTAAATAGGAAAGGGATACTATTTCTCTGTCTATTTTCTTTCTTGTGGGGGATTTTCTTTTGCAATAAAAATAGTTTTCACTTGTGGATATGGTTAAAAAAAATCAGTACAGTATATTCTCTGATGATAGTAGTGACAGTAATGTATAATTTTTAGATGGCAAGACAGCGTCGAGCTAAGGTGTCCTCAGGGCAGCTACCATCTAGCGAGAACAATCAACATGATCTTGCTGTCCTTGACGATGCTCGAGCATTATGCCGGCCAGAGCGCTCCGGCAGAGACAGAAGACGACAGAGATCCGGTAGCCGCAGATGGTGTCCAGCATTGCTGTACATGATATTTGCAGGAATAGTCATTCTTGCTGTTGCTTACTTTTTGTATGTTGGATATATGGAAACTAGAATTAATACGCCACTCTCGGCTTCAAAGGTGAGTGAGTGTGTTTATCTTTTTAATAGGCATTTACATGCTTTACCAATTTTATTTCTGTTCTGTAGCTCCATGACAATTTTTGTGCATATATATGCATTCCTCAGCTGTGTCTGATTAAAATATTTGTGAATAAGCTATTCAGAAGCATCAGATTTACTTTGAAATTGCTAGTTTTATGACAAGATAGTGTTTAGAAGATAAATTGTGATGAGGAACACTTTTCTCAAGGTTCAGTATAAGCAAAAACTGTGTTCTTAAGCTGAGTACTTTCCTAATTCAGAATATAATCACGATGGAGAACAATAAAAGTATAAAATTGCATCTAAATTTATTTGAACTGATAATCAATAAGATATACAGAGAAGAAATATGGAGAGATGATGATAATTGTACAATATAATGGTACAGTATAATAATATAAGGGTTCAGTATGGTAAAAATACAAGAAATGGTACTATATAATAATTTAATATTATTATTACTGTGTATATTTATTATATCATTGTTAATAAGATAAAACATAAGTGATGAAAACTTAGTGCCAAAGGATTGAGAAGATATGGATGATGATAATGTAAATGATAGAATATTAAATGTTTGCTCTTTTCACATACAAATCTGTCTTGTATTTGTACTTGATCTATCAAAAGCTCTTTTAAGTGTTCCACTTAATCTTGCACATTAAGCACTTAATTGAACTTGAACCCTTAACCCTACGAATTTTCAATTCTACAAATATTTAAAGGTAATCGCTTTCAGATTCTTCTTTCCAAATGAGTTAAAAATATGGAATATTTTTAAACATAATTGTGAAAAAATCCATGTTATTTCTGTGGATATTTTATACAGAATTGACAAAATATTTAAATTCTGATATTAATATTAGTTCCTCAAACTTTGATAGTCTTTATTATTATGTTTTCTTGTCAAATTTGGAAATGATGGTGCCACATGCTCTAAAACTCTTCTAATTAATTAATGATTTATGCATTTTAAGATTGATCACTAGGTAATAAGTACCAGAGAAATGTAAAATCAAGTAATATAAGTATTTATAAGCAAAATCCAATTTTTATAAATATCTATAAAGTATTTTTTAAATTTTCCAATGAACTCTCAACTGAAATACTTTCAATTACAGTTTTGCTTACTGTATTTTGTGATGAATATATTAGTTATTTTGTTTTCAAAGAACCCACAGTTGAAGATTATCCAGTTTCACTTGCTGGTAAGCCAGTGATGTCAAAAAGAAAAAATGGGCAGAGGGGGGTGTATTCTTGACAAATCCCCTAGCACCTTGTATGACCATATGGAGATTTTTAAAGTACTTTGTAGTACCAGTTAAGTATCTTTCCTGCCTGATTGTGCATCTTCCCAACTATTGAATATAGTCATATATTTGGGAGCAGCAGAATTATGTACTCAAAGCCTTCTCCTAAAATGCAAAGCCTGATCTATAATTGAAGCAATGAAAAGGTTAATGTCTTGCTTTTTTAACATAAATTTAGCCATAATGTATTCATCCATATTCACTCCCTTACTAATCCTTGAACTTTTCACACTGTTCATAATTTCCCTGTTGTATATGCATGGCCAAAACCAGCAGCGTCAATACTGGGTACATGGAATTTTGTTTTATTTTGGCTGAAATACCATCACTGCATAAAAATTACCTTTTATAATTTGTGATTTACAATTTACTGGATTATGTATTCCTTCTTTGTAGGTAGTAACAAAGTCAGGGCTTGCTGTACCTGAGAGATACTGGGGCACATATCGACCTGGAGTCTATTTTGGCACACGGACAAGACACCCAACTTCAATTGTAACAGGTCTGATGTGGTTTGTGCCCGGACATTTCCAGAATAATATGCTGGCCCTTAGGTATGCTAACATTTCCTGATAATTTAAATAGTTAATATCCTCATTTGCATCAGATTAAATAAGCTGTTCATAATATTTATAAATAAACTTCATGGTTTGTTGGGCATGTTTCTTGAGAATGCATGTATTCATCAGAGGCTCTTGTAATTTATTTAAAATCCTGAAATGTTTTGCTGATATCTCGAAAAGATAACAAATAATCCATTCTTCATAGACCGCTATGCACAGTACCATAAGGATATGTGCTTCACCAATATCTTAATTGTTGCTTGCACCATATGTGTGAAACATGTTATGATGCAAGTCACCAGCATATGTTAAGATAAAGGTACAAACTCACATTATGGTATGTGTCTGTATATGAGGTGTGATCCAAAAGTTTGTGGACTAAGTATAGTATATTCAGGAAATAGTATAGGTTACAAAATATAAAAATGCAGTGTAATGCTTGCTGTACTATGAGCCCATTAGAGGACATCACATCATCTCTTGCAGTAATGTCTAAATCTATGGACAAAATGTGCAGCTGTCTAGAGCTCAAAGGTCATCGCATTTCCCACCGAGTACCAGCATTTTTCTGGGGGGAGCCCCTACGGCTCCCCGGAGCTATCCATGGCTGATATGGATATCCTAACTATTTTGCATCAGTCGATGTGGGTGGAGTTCTAGCCTACCGGGGACCACGAGCCAGAACCTGGCCCCCTCACAGAGGCATGGGGAGCAATGGCCCATAGAAATGCACATGTGATTTGGAGCATTCTATATCTGCCATCGACCGGGACAGGCACCCAGAAAGGTAAGCGCCACAAAACAAACCCCTATTCTGGTTAACAACGAAAATTGACAAACGAGTGGACAGAACTCCCCAAAAGAAAAAGAGCAAACAAGCATGACGTCACACGAGCCGCGCCACATGTCTGTGCCGCTCCCCCCCTCCCCGGGAGAGGGAAGGGGGAGTCCCAGACCTCCGAGCCGGCGATCCACACCCCAGTTCCTCGGCTGATGGGATAGTGCATGGTCGTGTGGCTCCAGCTCCAGTCTTGTATCAGTGCCATGACTTGTTTTCAGTGCTGCTCTTACGGTGGTCATGTGAGCTGGGAGTAGTATTCTCAAGTACTCGGGCTGCATGTGCTTAGGCTCACCTCCCCTGAGTGCCTTGTAAGTACCGCCCTTGGGGCTTGAGGTTGCCTTCTACAAGTCACCTTGGGTCTGTCTCTGTTGGCTTTTCGCTGCTTGGCGTTTGGCCGCCCCGAGTGTTTGGGGGTTTTCCTCCCTTGTTTACCTTGGGGTAAGTGGTAGTTATAGCACTGGTGGGGCACAGGGTACTGCGTAGCTAGTTTTCACCTATAACAGCGGCCGGCTCTGTTCCCTCTGGGTACGTTGTCCACGTGTGTGGTTTTTCTTTTCTTTTTGTTTTTACCTGGTGGGGGTGTCTGCCTTGTGTTTTCCCTCCCCTTATATTAGGATCGTTTGTATGGTGGCACCCCCCTGCTTCGCCCTCGCGAGCGGACAAGTCCCGTGGGTTCAGCTTTTAGCAGATTGCTTGGTAGTTTGGGGCGCCGTTTAGCAGTGCCCTGCTTAGAATAACCCTTAGCAGACCCAGTCTAGGGGCCCTGGGAAATCCTGCGGGGGCTCTTGGGTCAGATGGAGGAGACCCTTGCATCCCCTCTCGCTGTGTGCGAGTTTGAGGGTTGCTCTGTCCCCTTGTCCTTGGGAAGTCCTTGTCCTTGTCCTGTTCCCTGTCCCGTCCTTGGGAAGCTGGTCGGCCGAGCGGACAACACGCTGGACTTGTGGATCCTGTGGTCCTGGGTTCGATCCCAGGCGCCGGCGAGAAACACTGGGCAGTTTCTTTCACCCTATGCCCCTGTTACCTAGCAGTAAAATAGGTACCTGGGTGTTAGTCAGCTGTCACGGGCTGCTTCCTGGGGGTGGAGGCCTGGTCGAGGACCGGGCCGCGGGGACACTAAAGCCCCGAAATCCTCTCAAGATAACCTCAAGATTGTCTCAGGGTGACTCTCATTGTTTTTGCCTCCATCATGCTGCCTGTTGGGTCGGTGACACATTCGACCCTGAGTCCTGCGAGCTGTGTTTCTTGTTCGTGAATCAATTCACCTAGTCTGCTGATGATCTACTTCGGGTGCAGGCAGCTCGTGCGTTGCAAGGTAGGTTTAGGTTATTGCAACGCGCTCGGGTTGTTGCTTCCCCGGACGCCCCGAGGCTGCCTCGCTTTGGGGTGTTGGTCGCTTCGGCCTTGGTTCCGTCCGCGCCCCTTGTTCTTCCCCTTCAGTGGTTCAGTCTTTTCCCCCCCCCCCTCTCCTGCTTCCAGCCCCTAAGCGTCTGAGGACTTCGGGGTCGGGGCAGGGTTTAGAGGTTTCTGAGACTCGGGCAGTTTCAGGGGTTGTCCCGTCTGGGGGGCTACAGAGGCATTCGAGTCTGTTCCTCCGGCCGATGCTCCAGGGTCTGACCAGTGGGCCCCTTCTCTTCCGGCTGCCCCGGCTTTTTCTTGTGAGGCCGGGGCTTTGGAGGATGGCTTGGCCCTGGGGCCTGGTGTAGAGGCTCCTGGGGTTGGGGAGGAGCTGACTTGGGGGCCTTGGGCTCCATTGGACCTGGAAAATCCCGCCTGGATTTTCCGTTCTTCTGAGCGGGGGTTACTGTTGCAAGGAGTGGGTTTTTCCTTTCCCCCCCTCTGCGTACGATTTGGACTTGGGTTCTGCTCCTCCCCGGGTTCGGTTCCGTGTCCCTGTGGATTCTTCAGTTCCGTCTTTCCGGAGGTTATCGGCTTCCCGCACCTCTCCACCTGAGGTGCGGTCGGCCTTAGCTGCTTCCCTCCTGCATGACCCGGAGTACGCCTCCATAATGGATCCTTCTTCTTTCAGGTTTGGATCGTCGTGTCCTTACTGGGTGCGTTATGAGGTTCCGGGGTCGTCCTGGCTTGCAGACTGCCCCTTGTTTTCACTGGGTGCTTGGGACTCGTTCTGTCGTACCCGCATGTTTGAGTGGTGTGAGGCGTTGACGGTGGTCCAGGTTTACCTGGTGGCCGATTTTGAGCACCTTAATGAGTGTCTTTTCGCTCCTGCCCTTCTGCGGGATGTTGGTGCAGTGCAGCTCCATGTGCAGGTTCCTTCCCTGTCGGCTGCTCTTGTGGTGGAGGATTTGCGTGCTCGTGGCTTTTTGGCTTCGATCCTGTGTTTCTTTTCCCTCCTGGAGCTATCTTTGGATTGGCTTGCAGAGGATGTTGAGGCGCTTGGGGTTGTTCCGGGGTCTGCCGCCTTGGTCTCGGCTGCTCGGGCGTCGTCTGCCATGTTGAAGCTTTTTGCGCCGATCCTGTGGGAGGCGTTGCTGCGGTTTTTGCTGCACGTTTTGCGTGTTGTCAGGCGGTCCTTGCTTCCTCCTTAGAATCTGCTTGGGCCCTGGTTCTTAAGTTGTCTTCTCCCTTTTGTCGTCTGCTTTGAGGCTTCTGCGGTTGAGCAGAAGGCGGCTTCCTCCTCTTGCCGCCCTATGTCTGAGTTGTTGGTGCTCCGTGGGAACCGGGGGGTACCTTCCCGGCGGGGTCGTACCAGGGCTCGCGGTTTCGTTCGTCGGGGTGGGCCACAGGTGTCGGGTTTGGTGCCGGTGCCGCCTGCGGTCCCACCTGTGCCTGGTCGGCGCGGTGTTCACTCTGCACGCAGGTCAGGTTCTCGTAAGGGGCAGCGGCCCTTTCATGGTTCGCCCCATTGATGGGGCGATGGGGGGGGAGGCTGTCTCTGTTCGCTCACGCCTGGTCTCACGATTTGTGGGCTTTTCGGGTCGTTTCTCGCGGCCTGCGGTGGCATTGGGTGGCTCCTCCTCCTGCGGGGGGTTTGGGGCTGACGGGGCAGACTTCCTCTCCTGCGCTCCGTCGGGTCATCTTGGTGTGGGTGCGCTTGGGCGTGGTCGAAACGACTCCGTCCCTCAGGTGGGTTTCCCGCCCGTTTCCAGTTCCGAAACGGGACTGTGTGGACCTGCGATTCATTCTGGACTTGTCCCGTCTGAACCCTTGGGTTTCTTGCCCCTCATTTCGGATGACCACTCTGTCCCAGGTCCGGCTTCTGTTGGAGCCGGGCGCTTGGATGGTGTCCCTGGACCTCAAGGACGCGTATTGGCATGTCCCTATTCATGTGGGGTTCCAGGACTGGCTCGGTTTTGTTGTAGGCCATCAGTGCTACCGCTTTCATTGTCTCCCCTTCGGGTTGAACCTGGCACCTTGCGTGTTCACACGCCTTACCCGGGTCGTGGTGGCCCATCTGTGTCTGTTAGGTGTTCGAGTGTTGGCTTACCTCGACGACTGGCTGGTTTGAGCTCCCAGTCAGTCCGTGTGTCTGCTCGCCAGGGATTTGGAAGTCTCATCTGGTGCCCTCCCAGGTTTGGTCCTGGCTGGGTCTTGTGGGGGACTCTCGGACCGCTTCCTTGTCTCTTCCTCTGGAATCTCTCCTTCGGCTGCAGTTTCGCCTGTGTCTGTTTCTGGGGAGCTCCCGGGTCACCCGGTGGTTGCCCGAGGGTTTGTGCGGGAGCCTGAACTTCACGATGGTGGTCTTCCCGCCGGGTCGGGTTTGGCTTTGTCGGCTGTTCTGGTTCCTTTGGGGACGTTCCTTCCGCCTCTCTTGCGATTGCTGGGTTTGACCCCCAGGGGCTTTGTGTCGGCTGCTGCGTTGCCGGCTTCCTCTTCGGGTTTTTCGGGGTTCAGTGCCTTGGCGCCTGCCCGAGCCCTCGCTCGATGTGTTCACGGACGCGTTGTCTCTAGGCTGGGGTTTTGTGACCAGTGTTCACCAGGCCGGCCAGGGGCGGTGTGTTCCGTCCTTCCGTCGGGTCCATAGCACGGTGAGGGAGTTCGCAGCGGTGTGGTTTGCGCTTCGGAGGATTCGGGTCGCCCGCGGGTCGACGATCCGGCTCCATTTGGACTGCTCCCCGGTGGTTCATTGTCTGAACCGAGGGGGTTCGATGCGGTCCTTGGCTCTTTGGGGTTGGTCGCTTTGGGTGACTCGTCTGCTGAGTTCTCGGGGTTTGGCTCTCCTGGCGGTTCACATCCGAGGGGTGTCCAACGTCCTGGCGGACAGCCTGTCCAGGTTCGTTCCCCTGTCCACAGAATGGACAGGCGTCGGCGTGGTCGAGGCATCTTCCGGTTTACATGACACCCTTCCCCCGACTGCGAGGCCGTCGGGATTGACGCTTTTTGGCAGGACTGGTCTGGTGGGGGTTCCTGTACCTCTTTCCTCGGTTCAGCTGCTGCTCCAGGTCATGGCTCGCTTGGAGACTTACCAGGGTCGAGTGGTCCTCTTGGCCCCATGGTGGCCGGCCCAGCCGTGGTTTCAGGCGCTGCTTGCCCGGTGTCCGAACTCGGAGGTTTTTCCGCGGCTGCGCCTCTTTCAGGAGATCGGGCCGGTCCAGTACGTGACTGGTTCGCTCTTCTCCGCGAGTCTGCGCGTTTGATGTTTTTGACTCGTGTTTATCATCATCTTTATGGTGAGCAGGTGGCTTCCTTGTTGGTTTCTCACCTGCGGGTTTCCTCTCGGCGGCAGTATGAAGTTTCCTGGCGGTCCTTCCGGTTCTTTTTGACCCATCGTCGTTGTTCCTCGCTTTCGGTTCGGGTGGTGTTGTCCTTTCTCTCTTGGTTGTTTCAGGACTGTCATCTGATGCCTAATACTGTTGCCTCGTTTTTTTGGATTTTGGACGGGGATTTTGGCGGTCGAACAGGGTCCTGGCTGCACGCTATTTTGTAAATATTCCTGGGCCCAGTCAGGCCTGTGTTGCTTTAGGTCGGCGGTTGCAGACCGTTGTCTCGGCTTCGTGTTGAGGAGTGGAGCACAGACCATCCCCTTGGTTTTCTTGGTGATCTTTGGTGAGGTAGCTCCGGGGAGCCGTAAGGGCTCTCCCCAGAAAACCAGCGTTGAGTGAGTGCAATGAAACGCCATTTTCTGGGGGAGTCCCGGAGGCTCCCCGGCATCCCTCCTGCCCTCCGGTCGGCAGTTTTTTCGCGGTTTTTGATATCTAGCCTCAGAACTGGGGTGTGGATCGCCACCTCGGGGGGTCTGGGGCTCCCCCTTTCCCCTCCCGGGGAGGGGGGGAGCGGCGCAGACATGCGGCGCGGCTCGTGTGAAGTCATGCTTGTTTGCTCGTTTTTCTTTTGGGGGGGTTCTGTCCACTCGTTTGTCAATTTTCGTTGTTAACCAGAATAGGGGTTTGTTTTGTGGCTCTTACCTTTCTGGGTACCTGTCCCGGTCGATGGCAGATATAGAATGCTCCAAATCACATGTGCATTTCTATGGGCCATTGCTCCCTGTGCCTCTGTGAGGGGGCCAGGTTCTGGCTCGTGGTCCCTGGTAGGCTAGAACTCCACCCACATCGACTGATGCAAAATAGTTAGGATATCCATATCAGCCATGGATAGCTCCGGGGAGCCTCCGGGACTCGCCCAGAAAATGGCGTTTCATTACATTCAACGCTGGCTTTTTTGTCAGCATGTGTGTAATGTCCAGCCAGCCAGTTCAAAATGGAACTAGGCTACAGAGGCCTATACAGAAAATGATTTTGTTCGCTGTTGTTTAGTCGTGATGGGGAAGAATGATATTGAATGTGCAGGGTTACGGAATAAGAACTTCCCATACAGGTACAATCCAGGAGGGTGCTCAGGGTGGACTAGTGGAAGAGGATCAAGGTCCTTTGATCATACCAACACACTAAATGATCATCTAATTTGTGACTTTAGTGTAACCTTTACTTTCACTTTTCTTCAATCAGGCTATGCAAACACCACTAACATCCTATTATCCAGAAACAACTGTTGAATCTCCTAGGTGTACACAGCAATCCACACCAGATTCATTCCAATGTCAGATTAGTAACCTGAGAAAACAAATATTTAATGCGCAGGGTTACGGAATGCATATTTATTTGTTTTCTCACGTTACTACTCTGACATTGAAATGCACCTGATGAGGATTGCTGTGTAAACCTAGGAGATTCAACAGACCTAGGAGATTCAACCCACACCTCACCCTCATACAAATAAGACAGTTCACAACACACCCCGACAGTTCACAACACACCTCGGGAATCTGTACACCAGTTGATTGACAGTTGAGAGGCAGGACCAAAGAGCCAAAGCTCAACCCCTGCAAGCACAATTAGGCGAGTACAATTAGGTGAGTACCCCAGTCCACAAAATCCAGCACATACATATGGACTGAATAATGAGGGTTGTAGTGTGAAGTGTTAGGGGATAGGAAAGTGGCAAGTAAGGGCTCACAGTTTGGTATCTTGCTAATCCTCGTTCATGTAAATGCCCTCCAAGAGGTGGTAGGATTATACATGTCAGTGTTTTCATATTCAAAACTGATGAGCAGTTTTGCTCATCAGGAAAGCTGTATGGTCAATAAGTTCACTTATACCTTATACTGCACAGGTTAGTGTCTAGTTTATCACTGAGCGTTTGCCACAAAGTTGCGCGTTTCTATTTCCCTGTGTGCCGTACTCAGGAATTGAATGCATGTATCCATTATCTATGGATATGTAAATATTTGCATTACAGTAGTGTGTTGGTTATTATGCATGTATTGCTAATCTAAGAATAGAATGGTATGTTATCTTCCCTATTCCACAGCCATCTTGTGAAATAGATTATCACCCTTTATTTTCATGATACCTGTGATATCCAATATTTCAAGAGTCATCCCAGGAACCATGTTTTGGACTAATATGCTTTCTTTTATATGGCAAATAAGTGTAGATACTGGATAAGAGCTACACTTGTGGTGTCCTGTCTTTCCTATAAACTTGGTCATATGATGCTTTGAAATTACCACCTTGTTTAAATTGTTTCAGCCGTCTACAACTCGGAACTTTTTACTCGCTGTGGCGTATGATGTTTTAAGCTTCTCAATCTTGTTCACATAGATGTGCATATGTGGTGTGAGTATTATTAATTATTATTGTTCCAGACATTGGTGTGATCAAGCTGATGATCTGCCAAAGTATGGCTGGCAGGTTCACGATGGCCGTAACATAGGCATACAGACCATTATGGACAAAAGTACAAATATACAAACAAAATTTGTCAAACGAGCTGGTGGTCAGCATGGAGGGGATTGGTCTGCAAGGATCAGTGTTTTCCCTAAGGTAAACATTATAGCTATTTCTATAGTTAACCTTATTCTAAGTTGAACATTTTTTAACTTGAAGATTGTTGGTGTATGTAGAGTCAACTGTCTAAGCTATTTGCCTATTACATTACAGAGTGAAGGATCTTGCTTTTTGTCCATTACATTACAGTATAGTGAAGGATCTAGCTTGCTTTTTGTCTATTACATATAGGATAGTACATTGAGAACAGTTACAAAAAATTCATATTAAGCTGGCTTGATTGCTTTGTATAATGTTTAAATGGTACAGTAATTTTTATTGTGAAAGTCAGTTTTGTTCTGTTTGCCTAATAATAAATGCTGTAACTTACTTAATTACCTTGCAGACTAAAAAACAAGAGGCTAGAGAAGTGTCGCTCTTGTATTATGTTGCACTGGATCCAGATGATACCGATTCTATGCTACAGCCCATGGTTGGAACCAGTCAGTCGTTGGGCTCTCTGAGAGGCATCTCGGACTCTGTTGGAGGCTTCCGTCTTCATGTTCTTAATTCCTCGGGAATCATAAATCATCATCATTTACTCAGTACTAAGCATTTAGGTCTTCATATGTTGAAAGAAACTGTGTACAAGGGTTTGAGAGTCTTCCAAGGTAAAACTGACAAGGAAAAGTACATTGGACTTGCTGGAGAGATGTTCAGTCATGAAGATACTGACCGACAACCCAATTTTGTTGTATATCAGGTCACTGGGCAGGTGCCGTTTGAAATAGAGGTAGTGTACGAGAGTGATAGTGTAGTGAGACGACCAGGGATGCTAATGGGCGAGTCTTTAACCGAGGAATTAAGTAAGTACGAGGAAAAATTCTATGCAGATTTTGAATCAAAGTTTTCTATGGAAGCAAAAGGGTTTAATTCTGAAGAAATAAATTTTGCAAGAGCTGCTTTAAGTAACATGATTGGAGGCATTGGTTACTTTTATGGTGCTTCAAAGGTACTGGGTGAGTACAATAATGATCCAGTTCCCTATTGGAAGGCTCCACTTTATACTGCAGTGCCATCTCGCAGTTTCTTTCCCCGAGGTTTCCTGTGGGACGAAGGCTTCCATAACCTCCTTATATCCAAGTGGGATCGAGAAATATCTCAGGATATTTTGGCCCATTGGTTTGATTTAATGAATTGGGATGGATGGATACCTAGAGAGCAGATTCTGGGTGTCGAGGCTCGTGCTAGAGTTCCTGAAGAGTTTGTTGTTCAACGGGGCAAAAATGCTAATCCTCCTACGCTTCTCCTCACTCTACATTCCATGATGGCTGGCTTTAAGCAGGAATTGTCAGATGATGATTATGAATACCTCGGTCACCTTTGGCCTCGATTAAGAGCTTGGTACAACTGGTTTAATACAACACAACTGGGAGAGGTACCAGGGACATACAGATGGCATGGTCGAGATCCAAGAGCAGTACTGGAACTGAATCCCAAAACTCTGACATCAGGTCTGGATGACTTCCCTCGGGCATCACATCCAACAGCAGATGAACGACATTTGGATCTTAGATGCTGGATGGCTCTAGCATCAGGACTTATGGCAGACATTGCAAAACTTATAGAAAAGGATCCTGGTAGGTTTAATGATGCTTATAAATATCTGACAGATAACAATATTCTCGATTCTCTACATTGGTCATATGCTGCAAATGGATACATGGACTATGGTCTTCACACAGATGACCTGGAATTAAAGCGACTTACACCCAATTCTGTAATGAAGCGTATTGTACATTCAGATCCAAAATTGAGGTTTGTAGATTCTTTTGGATATGTAAGCTTCTTCCCCTTTTTCCTTCAAATTATAGATCCCTATTCTGCAAAACTTGGGAAAGTTCTTGATGATCTTCGGCGGCCAGATCTCCTATGGACTCCTTATGGTCTTCGCTCCTTGGCTAAGAATTCTCCTTTTTATAATAAACGAAACACTGAGCATGACCCACCTTATTGGCGAGGTGCTATTTGGATCAACATGAATTACTTGGCTGTACGGGCTTTACATTACTACAGTAATGTAGATGGACCTCACCGAGAGCTGGCATTGGAGATATACAAAAGTCTAAGACAAAATATTATTAGTAATGTTATAAAAGAATACAAGAGAACAGGTTACTTATGGGAACATTATGGTGACAAGAATGGACGAGGGGAAGGATGTAGACCATTTACTGGATGGACTGCTCTTGTGGTATTAATGATGGGGGAAACCTTTTAACTTTGAATTGTTAATATTGTTAGTAGTTAATGTTTTCATCAATGGATCAATATTTTATGCCTTCAATATTTACAAATGATAATTTGGTTCAGTACAACTTTTTCTACAAAAATGTATGTGATCTTCAGGAAATATATTCACTAACATTTTCTTGGAGTAAGGAGAGACGACAAGAATGATTTCCTATGCACCTGTTTTCCACAACTTGCTTGGTAATAATTTATATTTCAATACAAGCCATATTTCAAAGCCTTCATGTGTGTATTTTATAATGAAACCACAGCTATTTTGTTAATGGAACTTGTATCACAGACCTCAGTATGACAATCATTTTGCATTGTTTTGTGTGTGCTCTCTATGGTAGCCACATCGGCATTTGTGTTGTCCAAAATTTGTATGAGCAGTCTCAGTAAGGTGACTATGGCTGGATTTCATTACTGAAGTTATTCAACAAAATAAGTATCACGGTATTAATGCCACTGGACCTTCATTGGACATCTTTGTTGAAACAAGGTTTTGTTTTGCTAGATGCCCTTTAAAGTTAGCATTTACTTGTTAATGTTCAACCACTTGGGAGTGGATGGTAGAGCAACCGTCATGCGTTTTGCAAGTTGGCATTCAATTCCCAACTGTCCAAGTGGTTAGACACCATTCCTTCCTTCCATCCTATCCCAAATCCTTATCTTTATCCCTTTCACGTGCTATACAGTCGTAATGGCTTAGCGCTCTTTCCTGATAATTACCTTATCTTGCTAACCATAATTTTAATAATACAGCAAGTTTGTCATAATAAATATAGCTTATTTTGATAATCAAAAGATATCCAGTTGTCAGGTGTTATTTTGTTGGCGAGTGTGAAGAATGTCTAAATTGTATGTTGTATTTGAGAACTACTAAAGTTTTGCATACATTTTAATAGTTTAGTATACAGTATTTGTGTAAAATACAGACTTCTATTTTGATATTTAATACCTTGATTGTGGTGTAACTCTGACTAGCTTGAGGGCTTGGTCGTATGTGCATATGTGCTGACTATTGACGGAGGTACCAGTACTGTATGTACTGTACAGTAAGGCTGGCTTTGTTATAACTTTTATTTCTATAATCATAATTCATTCCCATCATTGAACTCTAGTTCATATTGTGCATTACACTTCCAGATTTACAATTATGTAATTTTAATGAGACATTTTTGCTTTCAAGAAATGTTAATCAATCATTAACAGGATACTTTAAGTTTGAAGACATGTTATTGTTACTTGCATATACACACAGATCCTTTGGCGATGAAACTTTTATTTTAATGAAATCTTTGGGTATTATTTGATTTTAAAATACAGTATAGTGTAAGAAATTTGCTAATCTCTTAATTACACTTTAAAATAAATTTGTAATAATTACAAAAGATGTTCATTAGATTAAGTTGATATGGCATTGTTTAAAAACTTTTAACATTTTTATTCCACTTGCAAAAACATTTTGCTCTTAGGTTTGCATAGTTGTTCAAAGAGTATTGCTTTTCTTGCTTCTCTGTTAGACCCTCTGCACCCAGTAGTAATTGGGGGACCATGATGTTAAATGACTGCGGTGGATTGTATTTCAGGGAGAACAAGATAAAGAATAACCTAACATGTTCCAGTACCGGGCCCAAGATCTAAATTTTAGTCTATGGTTGAAGAGAGTAAGTTGTAGTAACATGGCAGGAAATTAGGGCCCCAACTCAAACATCTGAAAAGTAAGGAAAGTAACATTTCTTTCTAGAACATGGTCTAAAAACTGTTAACATTTTTATTCCAATTTGCAGGAACATTTTACTCTTAGGTTTGTATAGTTGTTCAAAGGGTATTGGCAGAAAATTGGGTACCACAACCCCAAACACCTGAAAAGTAAGGAAAGTAGCATTACTCACCATTGTAGACCCTTATCAACTAGTGTGATAGCTTGATAAGGTTCAAAGATGGGTCAAAATGTTATCACTTTCTTTTCAGGTGTGTGGGTTGGATATTTAACTTAGGGCATCTATCAGGCCCTTGGAGAGTGGTTGAATCTGCCATCATTTGGAAGAAATTGTGCTGAGGACATTGTACAAGCTATTGAATTGTTATATAAAGGTATTTCACAAGCCATTGAAGTATTATAAAAGTTATTTCATGTGCCAAATGATATTGTTAATACAGTTTCATGTCCTCCTTCTGTAGATGTATAATACGGACGTTGGGTGAACATTTTTTTGTGGGAAAATTGGCATGGCTGTTTCCTTATAGACTGTACATAGCATATTATTTATGAGTTACATGTGTGATAAGCTACATGTATGATTATGAAGATAGTATGCAAGTAGTCCTTCGTGATCCAGGGAAACGCAAGCTTAAGAGACTTGTTTATCATTTATGACTCTCTTCTTTGGTTTATTTTTCCCACAAGTGATGGTGTGGTGTGCTATGCTGGTGTACATTAATTTTAAGGTATTATTACATTATTTATGATTCTCTTCATCATAAGGATTAGTGATGGGAGGATTAATCGTAATTGGTATATAGAATCGGAAGGATTGACAATTTTGAATAAGTGAAATCGGTATCGGAGTCAAAAGAAATTGATCATGATTTCTGATTCTTAAAACGATTATTTATCATTTAATAACAAAATTAATTTTGGTGCTACAATATATTCTCCCAGAAGAAACAGAATGCAAGCAGAGGTAGATGTTAATTTTTTTATATTATAATTTAGGAGTCTTGGGTTTCAGATGTGAATAATTTTTTCTTATTCACTTGAACTGTACTTGCATTATTTATTTATATATACAGTATAAGAGTTGTTACATTCTTGTACAGCCAATAGCATGCGTAGTGTTTCGGGCAAGTCATGTAGATTAAAGATGGCTTTTTCAGTATAAACCAAAAATTAATTTAGTTCTATATGAACTACTATTGCAGTTTAATTTTACTTGATGTGATGGGTAATGGAATGATTTCAGTATTTCCATTTTCTTGTTTTTGTAGATTAAGGATTAATTTTTTAGTAATTAGGAATTAACCCATGCTTTAATTGAGCTAGTATTGCAATATTAACTATTTCAACTAAGAATAAATTTTATATTGTGTAGTACACAAAGCTTGTACATTTGCATGTATAATGAATGTTTGAACCTTTCAGGTTCCTTATAAATGTTTAAGCTGGATCTACCAATTGTTTTCTAATCTTAAATCAGTCTGTTATATTAATAATACATTTACTATGCTAATAATGTAAATCATTAATTTTTCCTATCTAAATATGAAAATGTTAAAAAAAATGCATATTAAACTACTATATATCTTTGAAAAAATCTAAATCAAAATCGATAATCATATCGGACTTGAGACTTTTTAATGGAATCGGCATCAAAATCAAAATCATTAGAAATTTTGGTATCGTCCCATCACTAATAAGATTTCTCCTAGTTCTGTACTTATGTCTTGTTTCATTGTAAATATGTACAGTACTGTACAAAGATGAAAAGTACTGTACAATGACTAAATATACCTATGTTGTAGAAACATGAGTTGCAGATAAATACTGTACTGTATATGTATACTGTATATGGCAGAAATCCATTTGAATGAAACAATTCATTCAAGACTATGTCCATTGCATTTGAACATTAGTACTGTAGCATTTTGACCTTTGTTGCATCCTAAACTCTCTTGCATCCCATCTCTTTTTTTTTTTTTTGCATCAACCATGGGATTACAGTGGTACCTCAGCTTAATGAATTTAATCCGTTCGCAGAGATGGTTCGTAAGCCGAAAATTCGTAAACTGAAGTTTACGAATTTCCCCATAAGAAATAATGGAAAATGAATTAATCCATTCCACACTCCCAAAAAAATTAACTTCAAAGTAAATTTTATACCTAATTCACCCAAATCTTCAGTACAAAAGTATGTACAAGTTATTACTTACTTTTACTGATGACTATGGTTGACGTATGGAAGATGGTGAGGGGGGGAGGAGGAGAGGTGTTACTGTTTGGAAGGGGAGTCCCCTTCCATTATAACATCAGGCAGTGATGACTTCTCTGGGGTACACTCTCTGGTACGTTTTGCCTGTATACCACTAGGACCTGCTTGTGGCTCATTGCTTGCTTGTCTTAATAAGAATCTGTCTAAAGACACTTGTTTTTCCTTACATTTTAACACTTTGCTGAAGTGAGATATCATATTGTCATTTAAAAGGTCAGTGCAATGGCCTGCTACAGCTTTATCTGGGTGAGTTTTTTTCAAGAAAACTTTGCAGTTCTTCCCATACTTCACACATTTTCTTAATGAGGAAGGGACATCCTCCACTGCATCTACTCAAAACTGTTTTCTTAGGTTGAACCTTACCACTGACTTTCTTGGACACATGGCAAGATATATAATACAGTAATTACTTTTATGTTCAAATACCCAAAAATAAAAAAAACACTGAAATTCGTTACAAAAGAATTCAGGCGCGATTGTCACTAGGTGGGAGCCACTGGTAAACTGAGGCGTGATCGCCGTGCCACCACGCGCTAGGTCGGCCCATACACGAATCAACAAACTTGTTTCCCGAGGCAAAGTTCATAACCCGATTAAAATTTTCCGAAAAAATTGGGCTTGGAACCCGAAAGGTTCATAAAGAGGCGCATTCGTAAGCCGATGTGTCACTGTATCTATAATCTTGCTGATATACCTTCACCACTACATGTCTTAATGCAAATATCTGGTCATTGCCTACCTCTTCCATTGTGGAACAGCTTTGTTCTTGACTTATTTCTGTTCCATTCTCTATTTTACCAATCACAATTCTTCCATTCACTTTGACCACTACACTGTGTATATTAGTCATACACACCACCACTGACCCATAATATCGGGAAAATTCTACAAGCCCATTTCATTTCCTTGTCTCCACTATTAATGATAGTGGAGACAAGGAACACAACACAACACTGCAATTTTCCCACCTTTCATCTGCTTTACTGATGAATGTATCTTCTTCATAGATAAATATTTTGATGGCTTAGGGTTGAGTGCTAGGGCAAGCTGTTTATGGCTTCTTCATTGACCAGTGGGGCTAGGGCGATATCCAAAATGTAAGTTGAAATTTGTGTTACGTCCATGAATTAATTTGGGTTCCCAATCTTTAGTGTTTTTTCTGGGGGGAGCCCCGTCGGCTCCCCGGAGCTATCCCAGGCTGATATGCTAATGTCATACTTTGGCATCAGTCATGTGTATGGAGTTCTTAGGCCTACCGGGGACCACGGCCAGAACTGGGCCCCCTCAGAGAGGCAAGGGGAGCAATGGCCTATAGAAGCCCCCGTGTAGTTGGAAGCATTCTATGTCTGCCATCGACCGGAACAGGCACCCAGAAAGGTAAGCGCCCCAAAACAAACCCCTATTCTGGTTAAAATTGCTACCAAAAACCGAACTAGTGGATAGAACTCCCCAACCGAAAACAAGCAAACTAGTGTGACGTCACACACTGCCGCGCCGCTGTCTGCGCAGCTCCCCCCTCCCCGGGAGGGGGAAGGGGGAGTCCCAGACCCCCCGTGCCGGCTACCCACACCTCAGTTCTTAAAGCTGATGCTATAGGCGATGGTCGTGTGCTCTGGCTCCGGTGTCGCTACTGCACTGTGCTTTGCGTGTGGTGTTAGTTTTGTGGGTGCGAGAGCCAGGAGTTATCTTCAGTACTCGGGCTGCATGCGCCTAGGGCTGCCTTCCCTAGGTGCCCTGTAAGTACTGCCCTTGGGGCTTGGGGCCACCTTTCACAGGCTCCTCGGGGTCTGCCTCTGCTGGTCCGTTTTACCTTTCGGTTTTTCGGCCGCCTGTTGGGCTCTTGGGTGTTCTGTTCTCCCTTGTTACCGGCAGGTAAGAGGCAGTTTGCACTGGTAGGGGCGCGGGGTGCTGCTCAGCTTGTATTTCCCGACATCGCGGCCGGCTCTGTTCCTTGGGGTTCGCTGTCCTCTTGCGGGGTTTTGTTTTTCTTTTTCTTTTTGCCTGGTGAGGGGTTCTGTCATTTTATTCAGTTTGTTTTTGCCCTTCCACTGTTCTCCTCGGTGGCGCCCCCTGCTAGGTCCCCGTGAGTGTACACGTCCCTGAGGTTCAGCTTTAGAAGTTTGCTTGGTAGTTTTGGGCGCCGGTTTGCAGCACCCTGCCTGGGACTACCTGAGCGCGAGTCCTCTTAAAGTAAACGCTCAGGACCCTGGGAATCCTCTAGGGGGCGCGTGGGTTCGATGGATGTGACCCCGGAGTCCCCACTCGCTGTGTGCGAGTTTGAGGGTTGCTCGGTCCCCTTGTCTCAGGGTGACCCTCATTGTTTTTGCCTCTGCCACGCTGCCTGTTGGGTCGGTGATACTTTCGACCCTGAGTCCTGTGAGTGTTGCTGCTTGCTTGTGACTCAATTTACCCAATCCTCTGATGATTCTATTCGGGTACAGGCGGCACGTGCGTTGCAGTCTAGGTTTCGTCTGTTGCAACGCGCTCGGTTGGTTGCTTCCCCGGATGCCCCGGGGCTGCCCCGCTTTGCTTTTCGAGACCCGAACTTGGGGGTGGGGGTCGCTTCGATCCTGGTTCAGTCCGCACCTCCTCGTCCTTCCCCTTCTGTTCGTTCTGGTCCCCCGCCCCTGCTTCCGGCCCCGAAGCGTCTGAGGGTTTTAGGGTCGGAGCAGGGGTTACTTGATCTCGAGACTCGGGCAGCTTCGGGGGTTGCCCTTTCCGGGGGGGCGGCAGAGGCATTCGAGTCTTGTCTCCCGGCCGAAGCTTCAGGGTCTGACCAGTGGGCCCCCCTTCCTCCAGCTTTTCCGGCTGCTCCGTCCTTGTCTTGTGGGGTCGGGGCTTGGGGAGAGGACTCGGCCTCGGGTCCTGTGGTGATGGACCTCGAGGCTGGGGAGGGGCTGACTTGGGGGCCTTGGGCCCCGCTGGACCCCGCCTGGGTTTTTCTTCCCACTGAGCGGGGCTTATTGTTACATGGAGTGGGGTTTTCTTTTCCCCCCTCTGCGTACGAGTTGGATTTGGTGTCGGCCCCTCCCTGGGTTCGGTTCCGTGTTCCCCCGGGTACGTCGGTTCCGTCCTTCCGGAGGTTTTCGGCTTATCGCATCCAACCTGGTAGTGGTGGGAGCGGCCTTTGCAGCTTACCTCCTGCGTGACCCGGATTATGCCTCGGAAATGGATCCGTCCACGTTCAGGTTTGGGACTTCGTTCCCTTTCTGGCTCCGTTACGAGGTTCCGGAGTCGTCCTGGCTAGCAGACTGCCCCTTGTTTGGTCTGGATTCCTGGCATTCCTTCTGTCGTTCCCGCACGCTGGAGTGGCGGGAAGCTTCCACGGTGCTTCAGGTTTTCCTGGGGGGTGAACTTGAGTACCTGAATGAGTGCTTGTTTGCCCCTGCCCTTCCCCGCGATGTGGGCGTTATTCAGCTCCATGTGCAGGTTCCCTCCCTTTCGGCGGCGCTCGTTGCAGAGGACTTGCGCGCCCGGGGCCTTTTGTGTTCGGCCTTGCGGTTCTTTTTCCTCCTGGAGCTGTCTTCGGATTGGCTCATGGAGGATGTGGGGACGCTTGGGTCCGTCCCGGGGTCCGGCACCTTGTCCTCGCCTGCGCGTTCGTCGGCTGCCTTGTTGAAGCTGTTCACGCCGATTTTGCGGGATGCGGTTTCCCTGTTCTATGCTTCCCGTCTCGTGTGTCGGCAGGCGGTGCTGGGTTCCTCCGTGGAATCTGCTTGGGCTCTGGCTCTTAGGCGTTCTTCACCTTTTTGTTCTCTCCTGTTTGGGGAGTCGGCCGTGGCGCAGTTTATTCAGGCTGCGTCGGCGGCTTGTCGTCCGATGTCGGACTTGTTGGTTTTCCGGGGGTCCCGGGGTGGGTCTTCCCGGAAAGGTCGTGCCAGGGCTCGGGGTTCCTCTCGTCGTGGTAGGCCTCTGGTGTCAGGTTTGGGGTTGGCTGCTCCTGCGGACCCTCCCTCGTCTGGTCGGCGCGGTGTTCGCGCTGTGCGGGGTTCTGGGTCTCGTAAGGGTCGCCGGCCCTTTCGCGGTTTGCCCCCTTGACGGGGTGATGGGGGGGCGGCTTGCGCTGTTCGCCCGCGCCTGGTCCCACGATTCGTGGGCCTTTCGGGTCGTGTCTCGCGGCCTGCGGTGGCGTTGGGTGGCCCCTCTCCCCTTTGGGGGGTCGGGGCTGGCAGGGCAGGTTTCTTCCCCTGCGCTCTGTCGAGTCGTCTTGGAGTGGGTACGCTTGGGCGTCGTCGAAACGACGTC